CAGCCATCTCCCAGGGGGCCCTCATCGCTATCGTCTGCAATGGCCTTGTAGGCCTCTTGCTGCTGCTGCTCTGGGTCATCCTCTGCTGGGCCTGCCACTCCCGCTCCACTGACATTGACTCCCTCTCCGAATCCAGTCCCAACTCCAGCCCCGGCCCCTGTCCTGAGAAGGCGCCCCCTCCCCAGAAGCCCAGCCATGAAGTCAGCTACCTGCTGCAGCCCTGAAGAGCCGTGGCCTAGCTTGGATCCTGGGACCTAAGTCCCCGCTACGGTCCCGGACTCCCCATCCAGCCTGCCTGGAGCTGGCCTTGGCAGCCCCGAGGCTAGCCAGCCTGGCTTGGCCAGGCGTTCAGTGGCCCTCGGGAGATGGGCCTGGGTGAGGATTCATGAGTTGGTGCTAGGGCCAGCGATGGACGCTACGCCAGACCAGGGACCAGGGGCTGGGTCCCTGGCTGAGCGCCTCCAGGCCCGTTAGTTGGGGAAGCAATAATGGGAGGGTGTCCCGCCAGGGCCTCTCCCTTGGTCCTGTTGTTTGCTGGCTAATAAATGGAATGACGGTGGCTCCACCCTGAGATGTTCTCCTTTTCCTGAGGGCCCTGCAGCTGGGAGATGGCAGGGAGCGGGTGCACTTCCAGACATAGGTTTATTTGTGCCAAGTAGAAGGGAGTCGTGGTGGTTGAGGGCCAAGGGGTTCAGGTGTAAGGTGCTGGGGTCACAAGCTGAATGCTGAGGCTTGGCTGAGGCCCCAGGGTTAGGGGCTACAAGCAATGGGCTCAGGACATGGGCCAGGCTCTGAGGCCAGCCCTCAGGTCTTGGTTTTCACTTCCCTCACCAGGTTCAGCAGTTTGTCTAGTTTTGCGATCTCCACGGCGGGACCCTTCTGCACTTCCTGCCCCTTCTTTTCCTGCCATTGGAGAGGAGAAACGGTGAGAGACGGCCTCCTCTCTCCAGGTCCTGCACTGCTTCATCTGCCCACCCTTCCCTTCCTGGATCTCAGGCTGGTGAAGTGACCCAGGGCCTGTAGAGGCATCCGACTCGCTCTGGCTTGGAACCTAGGGCAGACACCGAATCTCTGTGCTGGGAGCCAGTGGGAAAGGCATTCATTTGCCTTCTGACCGTCAAAGGCCCCGGGGAGGGGCCAGGTCTCTCGCTGGAAGGTCACTGGCTGAGGCCCAGCAAGGAGCTGAGAGGTGCATGCTTAGGGAGAAAGAAGGGTGGCAGGTACAGGAGTCTCAATGTAGCTCTTCCCTGGTGCCCTCAGGTCAGATGGTGGGCAGGTGCCATTTGGACCCAGGCCTGCTTAGTCTGGCAAACCCAGGGTCTTAGGAGACCCATGAGGGCAGATGGGATAAGTCTGTGTGACCCCACGGGTCCGTTGCTGGAGCAGTCCCTCAAGAGCAGAGCCCGACTTTATGACCTCGCCTCAACCAAGGGGATTCCTAGGTGGGAGTGGTTAAGTGTTTGACTCTTAGCCCCGAAGTTGACAGTTCAAACCCTCCCAGAGGTGCCTGCGAAGACAGGCCTGGTGATCTGCTTTCAAAAGGCTGCAGCCCGAGAACCCTATGGAGCAGTTCCGTTCTGCACACGAGGTCACCTCGTGTGTGAGAGAATGCGATGGCAATGACCAGCCCCTGGTCCCTGGAGTGCCACCGCCTCCGCCAGGAACTTGGGCGCTGGGTGTGTGTTGTTTATGGTTCTCGGAGCTTCCCAGCAGCCCAGCACCAGCCCGGGCAGTGGAGTGTGGGCTGTGCTGGGACAGGCTGGGCAGCTGCCATTTCCTGTCTTCCCTCGGCTCCCAGCCCCCTTCCTCTCAGCCACCTGTGCCCACTGCTCACTGGCACCTGCCCCAGCCCTGCCTGCCGAGGGCCTGGCCTGGAGCTGTCTGTGCTTTGAGGTGGGTGGAGAGTACAGGGCCAGCAGGCCTCTTCTTGGCCCTGCCCCCCACCCCACGGCTGACACATTATGGGGCTCAGGTTTCCTCCTGTGTGGCCCCCCTACCTGCCACCAAAGCTCTCCCCACCCCTGGCCTTATCTAGGTCCCTCCCTCTCCTGAATGAGACTCCGGTTCCCTGCCGGGCCTCACCCTTTGCCCCAAGAGTTAGATGACCTAGCTCTGTCATTAACTTCGAGCATTAGGGAAGTTAGTCCTTGACCTTTGGCAGGCCTGGACTGTGACCCCCGTCATGGAAGCTCCGTGGGCCTGGCTGTCCAGCTGGTGAGGGCAGGGGAGCTGCAGCCCCCAGGGAAGGGAGCATAAGTCCCTTTCACTCTGGAGGACTTCCTTTCGCTCTGGTGGCCGTAGTGGGTTATGCATGGAGCAGGTGCTAACTGTAGGGTCAGCTGTTCAAAGCCACCAGATACTCTGTGGGTGACAGACAAGGCCCTCTACTCCAGTAAATCGTGACAGTTTTGGAGACCCAAGCGGGCAGTTCTACTCTGTCCTAGAGGGTCGTTGTGGGCTGGTATAGACTCAGTGGCAGTGAGCTTGGGTTTCTTCCAGTCCCCAGTGACCTGCTCAAGGCCTCAGAGCCCCAGGCTCTCAGAGGAGCCAGCTCGCAGTCAGGACTGACTTTGCTGTGAGAGGACTTGGAATCAAGGGGCAGGACACCCTCCTCAGGGTGTCAGGGCTACACCCTCTGTCCCAAAGAGTGACCAGCATCCCTCCCTGAAGACAGGCCAGCTCTGCCAGCACGAACCTGGGTCTCTCTCCTCAGTTAAATTAAGAACAGATTTTATCTGTTCGCAAATCCTGCTGCTTCCCTCCCCTCCTTGGGGCCAACTAGCTGGGCTCAGCAGCTTCAGACCACGCCCGGCCCCCTCCCCCTGAGCCCACCACAGCCTCTGGGCCACAGCTGCTGGTGCTTAGCAGCCTTCCGAGTATTTATAGCCAAGTCCACCCCTCCCCCAGCTGGCTACAATTACAGGCCCGGCCAAACGCCCAACCCTGGCCTCCCAGGCCAAGGTGGGGAAGGAAGCAGCCAGGCAGCAGGGGGACAGTGCAGTGGCCTGCCTCTGTAGAGGGACATTGGGGGGTATGGGGTGGGGTGTCAGTTCTGAAAAGAGACAAGCCTCTGTCCTAGGCGCCAACTGCAGGGAATGGCTCCACCGGCAACAGGGCCCAGCCCTGGTCCAGTCCTGATCCTGACCCAGTACCTGGCAATAAGTGAATCTCACGTCTTCTCTTAGCTCCATCCAGCTGCACTGGGCTTCCAGCTCCACCACCCAAATGGGCAGGGCCAGCCTCTGGGTTCCCGGTTCTCACTTTGCAACTTGGGTTCTTGAGCTCTGGGTTCTAATCTGTACTCTTGAGTTCTAGACTCTGAGCTCATGGCTCTGGACTCTGTGGCCTGGATTTGAGGTCTTTGGGCTCTGGCCAGGGTGGCTGGATCATCACTAACCCCAGACCCAGGAATCAGAGCTGAGAAGAAGGGCTGCTGACCTAGTTATCCTTCTTAAGGCTCATTCACTGCTCCCCACGGGGAGCTCGGGGACCACAGGAGCTGCCGCCTGTGAAGCAGTATCAGGCCAGAGCCCCTGGGTGTCGTCCACAGCCCATGGTGCCTGTGCAGCATGCCCAAGCTGCAGAGCTGTAGCAGCTCCTGCTCACGGGATGGCTCCACCTGCACCCCCAGTGCCCGGAAACTTAGACTCCGTGTCTAACCTGGTCTCATTGTCTCCCCACAAGAAGGCTTCTCCTTGCTCCACACTTGGGCGATGACACCATCGGCATCTCCCAAGCCAGAACCCAGGGGCCGTACCTGCCTCCATCCCTCTCTCTCGTCCCCCACCGCCCCACCTCCTATACCTTAGGCATCTTGCGCAAGTTGGGTGAGAGCTTGAGGCAGGTAATGTGTCCCCGGTCATCGCCCACAATGATGATGGGGTAGATGGGATTGAACTGCACGTGGGTGATCTTGTTCTTCTTTTTGGCCACCACAGGCTGGTTGCAGATGGCCTCGTACTTGTTGATGACCAAGTCGAACACATGGGCCTGTGGAGAGGTCAATGCCAGCATGCTCAGGGGTCAGGGGCGCCTGTTGCTGTTCCCCTTGGGCTTTCTGGGGAAACATTACAGAAGGCTAAAATGGCTAGCACACTGGAGTTAAGGGGCAGTAGGAGAGACTTGTGACTCTACTAATGTTTTTTGTGTGGTTAGGAGTGGGAAATAAAAAGCCTTTAAGAGACAGTCTAGGCAGAATTAACCGTCACGATGCTCTTAGGTGCCCTGGAGTTGGTTTCAACTCACTGCGACCCTCTGTATGACAGACCGGAACACTGCACAGACCTGCACCGTCCTCACAATTGTTCTTCAGTTTGAGCCCAGCGTGGCACCCGATCCATCTCAATGAGGGGCTTCCTCTTTATTCTGCCCTTCCACTTTACCAAGCACGATCTCCTTCCCCTGGGACCGGCCTCTCCCTGATGTGTCCAAAGTATGTGAGACAAAGTCTGGTAACTCCTTGCCTTTAAGGAGCAGTCTGGCTGTACTTCTTCCAAGAGAGATTTGTTGGTTCTTTTGGCCGTCCATGGTACTTTCAATATTCTTTGCACCAGCACCTTAATTCAAATGGACTGATGCTACCTACTGGTCCAGTTGTGAGAGCGGTTGTCTTCTTACCTTGAGTGGTAATCCATACTGAAGGCTGCAATCCTTGATCTCCTTCAGCAAGTGCTTCGTGTCTTTCTCACTTTTGGCAAGCGAGGCTTGCTGATAGCTGTCTGTCAGGTACCACTGAGTTGGTTCTGACCCATCACTGCCCGATGCACAACAGAACAAGATACTGTCCGGTCTTGCACCATCCTTAAGCCTGCGGTTGCCGTCACTGTGTCATTCCATTTTGTGGAGGGCCTTCCTCTACTTGCCCAAGCATGGTTGCCTTAAAAAAATCGTCGCCACCAGTTATTGAACCCTTACTACGTACCCTGTGGAGCCCTGATGGGGTAGTGGTTACGCGTTAGGCTGCTAACCACAAGGTCAGCAGTGTGGGAAAAAGACAAAGGTTTCTCCCAAACTCAATGAGAGAGTTACAGTTTTGGAAACGCACAGGGGCGAGTTTACGCTGCTCGGTAGGGTCCTTACAAATCAGAGCTGACTGGATGACAGTGAGTTTGGAGTATGTACCCTGGGCAAGCATGTGACATGGTTGTATCATCTACTAGGTCACAGAACCACTTTGTTAGTCAGTGGCAGAGGTAGGATTCACAGCAGCTAATGTACATAAAATGTGTAGGCAGTGCTTGACAGATAAGTGCCCCGTCAATGTGTGATCTTAGTCCAAACCAGGACTGGCTTTTGCACGAACAACTGTGGCAGCCTGCTAACTGGTCTCTTGGCTTCTGTCTGACCTGAAATCCACTCTCCACTCAGTGGCCAGACCTGCCTTTAAACTCTGTAAATCCTGATAGTCTCTCTTGGGCGTACAAGTAAAATTGAGGTTCCTTACCCTGGCCCATCTCCTCTGTCTTTCATGCTCACTACAACCCCGACATATTTGCTTTTCTGTTCTAGAAATGCATTCACTCCAAGCTCACTCCCCACTCAGACATTTGCCCTGACTGTCCCTCTGCCAGGATCACCCTGCCACCATGCCCCAACTCACACAGCTAGCCCCTTTTCGTGTTCACTGCGCAGTTAGAATGTCAGCTCCTGAAAGTAGCCTTCCTCGACTACTCTAACCATAGACCCACCTGCCCTCTTTCACATCACTGTCTTTTACGATGATGACAACAGCTTGATTGAGTTACATTCCACCCACTTAAAGGGTGCAATTCAACAACTCAATCATTTTTAGTTAGTCCCAGAGTTGCGCAACCACATTGAGAGCACTCTGATCACCCCGGAAAGCAGTCCCCTTTCCCCATCGACCTCTGTCTTTAGGACCTGCCTATTCTGAGCATTGCATATTTGAACTGGAGCTATACAATATACCATCCCGTGTCCAGCTTCTTTCATGCAGCATGATGGTTTTTCAAGGTCCATCCATGTTGTAGTAGCCATCTGCCACACTGGTCACCCATCTCGTGGTATGGGTGTGCCATGTTCTGTGTAGCCGTTTGTCCATTGGTAGGTATTGGGGTGCTTCCATTTTTTGGCTATTATGGACCATGCTGCTGTGACCATCCGGAGTCTCTCATTTCCTTCTCTGGCCAGCACTCAGCACTTGAGGGATTTGGTTATTGTTGCTTTTTGTCTTTTCCATGCTCAGGGCCCAGCCTGAAACTGAGCACCACTGTCGACCCGTGGTAGACACGGGACTAGCTTTCGGGTGACGCCATAATCCTGGCGTTCTCTCCTTGGGCAGCAGAGACCTCTCGGTTGCTATCGCAGCCCATAGAGAAGGGGGCTTTACACCTATGAGTGGCTCACAAAATGCTGATTTCTGAGTTTTCACCGAGTCTCACTAGTGAACAGTTCACTCTCATCCTCCCTGAAATACCTTTCCAGACTCAGCTTGCCTTCTTGCAGGGGCAGGGACCTCACTACTTTGCAGACAGTAATGCCATCACTGATGAAGTCTGGCTCCTAGTAGCGCTCGTCTGTCCAGGGCTCTCAGAGGTGACCGACTGCCTCACAAGTGGTCTCTCCTTTAAGACGAACTGCTGCCAGTCCTTCCTCCAGGCCTCCTGGGATGATGATTTCTGGATGACCTGGCCCTTGAGTATACAGACTTGGGCAGGAGGGAGGCTCGACAGGGCAGAAAGGGGTGCTCACCTTCCCGTCGGTGGTGACTGCTGCGAACACAGTTGAGGAGTATGGTGCCCAGGCCACATCGCCCACGGCTGAGTTCAAGTCATAGATGAACATTGGGGTCCTGTGGGGATGGAGGGATGGGAAAGTTGTGGGGATGGAGGGATGGGAAAGTTGTGCCGTGGGGCGAGCCCCACAGGCCCAGCCCAGGGAGGGACCAGGGGCAGGGCCCTCACTTGATGGTGTGGTCCCAGATCTTCACTGTCCAGTCGGAGCTGCAGGACATGAAGACCTTGCTGTGGTACGGGTTCCAGGACACAGTGTCTACCGCCATGTTGTGAGCATCGTAGGTGTCGAGGAATTGGCTGGAGTAGGATTTAGAGCACTGGAGTGGGGGGTGGGGGTGGGGTCAGGAATAGGATGAGTCAACTGCAGCACTTCTCTGAGGGTCCTGGAGGACCAGCACTGGAGGGAGACCCCTGTCCTGCCCCCACATCACTTCCACTGACTGAACTGGGGCCACTAGTTGCCATTTCCACCCCTAACACACCCAGAGAGAAAAGAGGGGCTTAAAGGGCTAGGGCCTCAGGGGGAGCAGTGGGTGAGGATACTGGGCCAGGCTGAAAAGGCCCCTTCTTGAACCAGGGCCTAGGAGGTCGGGGGACCCAGGGTCAGGCATGACCCAGTCATCTCTCCAGGCCAGGGCTCATGGACAGACAGATAACCTTGACCCGTGAAAGGCTCACAGAGAGTCCTTGTGTGACAGGACAGTGTGCCCAGGTATGAGCAGGTGCAAGCCCACTCAGGATCTGGCGGGGACCTGTGTGCCCCTCACTCCTGGCCTCTGGGAGACAAAGCAGCCAGGCCTCCTTCTTTCCTCCAGCTTCCCAGGGGCCGCTTGGGCGAAGGGAAGGAGGGAGGACCTCCTTTGCATTTAGACCAGCGCTGGCTGGGCCTCAGTGGCTCCCGGGAGCCTGCCTGTAATTAATGTTCCCAGTCTCCGGGCTCAAGAAAAGCTGTGGCCAAGCTATTTCTGGATAGATGGCGCTTCAGAGGATGCTCACCTACTAACACTGGGACCTTACAGACAGCCATGACCTCGGTCTTTCCTGCCAGCTGCAGGCTTTCCAAAATAAATCTGCCTGTTACTGGCCTTCAGAGCTCTGCTTGAGTTCAGATCTCCTCCAGGAAGTCCTCCTAGAATGTTCCAACCTCCACCCTCTCCCTCTCCCCCTTCTATTCCTGGTCCTGGGTCTGGGAGGGAAGGGAGGGCTGGAAGGGAAAGATGCTGATGGGGGGCAAAGACAGCCCCAGATCTCCTTTCTCCTGTTCTGCATTTCCCTTCCTTCTTGCCACAAAAGTAGGTCAAGAATGTGTCCTCCTCCCCCAGGGAGCCTTCCAGAACTGATAAGCACTAAGGTCTGCCTGAACAGCGTCTGTGAAGAATGGTTAGCTTGCAGTGTGTGTGTGTGTGTGTGTGTGTGTGTGTGTGTGTGTGCGTGGCAGGGGGTGCTCAGTCCTAGGTGCCCCGTAAAGGGCTGGCATGGGCGGTGTGTGCTCACCTTGTAGATTTTCCCCTCCTCTGTGCCCACCAGGAACATGTAGTCGATCTCTTTGTGGAAGTCAAAAGCAGTGCCACAGCCTTGGGGGAAGAGCGAGTGGCCTTTAGCCAGGCCTCGGGGGAGACGCTCCCAGCACCCCTGCCCAGGGAGCAGACAGCTGGGTCAGACTGAGCCAGGCCCCTGTAAGGGCTGGGAGCAGTCCAGACAAATGGGAACCCCCCACCCCCAGCTGCTGGTCCCAGGCACTCAGGACTCCGGAAATGGCCTGGGGTTCTGAGGACAGGCCGAGGGTGTGGATAAACAAGGCCGGGATGAGTTAGAACAGGGTCAGGGTCTGTGCAAACAGGATCTCGGCTGCGTAAACAAGGTGGGGATTGAGTAAACCGGGGGCTGGATCTGGGTAAACAGGGCCTGATCTGCATAAACGGCTGGATCTGCATAAACAGGAACAAGGTCTGCACATAGGGCTCAAAAGGAAAAACCCAAACACCAGCCAAACGCACTGTCATCGAATTGATTTCGACTCGTCATGACCCCACAGGCCGAGATAGAGCTTCCCCGGTGGGTTTCTGAGACTGTGAATCTTGGCGGGAACAGAAAACCTCATCTTACTCCTGTGGGGCAATTAGTGGGTTCAAACTGCTGGCTTTTCAGTTAGCAGCCAAAATCATCACCCACTACCACCAGGGTTCCAGGCCAGGAGCAGCCTAAATGGGGCCTGGAGGGTCTGCAAACAGCCAGGCACAGCGTTCCTGCGACCTTCTGTGGGGCTCCAGCAGCGGCATGATTAGGGGAGGAGAGTGCTCAGGGGGCACAGGGCAGATTACCCAATAAACAAGGGAAGCACAGGTTTACCTGTGCTTACTACTCTGTAGTGACCGCCTCAAGGTTCGTAAGCAAGTACAAGTAAGCCTGTGCCTCCTTTGCTTAGTGGATTTTCTGTTCCTGTCAGAGGTTGTGCATTTGAAAAGAGGCTTTGACTCTGGGAAGGTGCCATGAGGCTGGCAGAGAGACAGGTGCTGGCCAGACCAAGAAGCAGAACCTTTGCTGTGGTGAAAATGGTAAAATTATTCCTAACAGATTCGTAAGTAAGCAAGCACATGTTTACTTTGCTTATTGGGTAATCTGACACGGAGGCAAGGGCCCCCAGCACTGGCTCCCAGGGCACCTGAATAACTCGGCCTGGCGTGCTCTGGGCAGGCTGGGTTTCCTACCTATGGTGTGCAGCTGAAAGCCCTCCAGACCCTCCGTGGTGCTGCCCTCCACCTTCAGCTTGATGATGTCTGTGTGAACCAGCTCACTCTGCAGTGAATGAAAAACGAGGTGCAGGGGGGTGCCCGTGGGCTGGGGCAGTTGGGGTGGGGTGTACCTTTGCCATTGGGCGCCCACCCACCCATCCATCCCCGGACATGAACCTCCCTGGGAAGCAGGTACCTTCACGAGCGTCCAAGACACAATCCTGCCATCAGATGACACAGAGAAGAAGTTAAGATTGTGGTCCATGTCATCCTTCTGCCACCTGACCTAAAATATACCAAACCGTGAGCTCTGGGTGGGACCCTGCTAGGGTGGAAGTCAGGCTGTAAGCTGGGGTCTGTGAGGAGGGCTGGAATCTTCCATGAACCCATATCAGGCGCAGAGCAAGTTCTATGAGTCTGCTTCCCAGAATCACAGGATTGGTGCTCCTCCCCTCCTTCCATCCATCTCTGTCTCCCTCACCCCTCTCTCCCAGCTAAGCCTGGGGCACCAATGCCCACCGGGAGCTCTTCCAGAATCCCCTGGCTTGGCAGGGAGGTGCCCAATTCCTCCTGGGTTGGGTTACAAGAGCGTGATTGCAGAGAGAAAAGAATGGCTAATTCCCTTACATAGCCGTGACGTGGACAGGATAGAGAACACTCACCAGTCTGCCCACTGATAAGACAGGAATCCTAATAGAACAGGCTCACTGGTAGGGGACTGAATGGGACAAGATATGGGAAGCTCTTAGTTCAGGACCTCAAATAAATTGAGTGTTCAACAAGCATGAGCCAATATCCTCACTGGTCTCTAAGAGGGTGGTGCAAAGGATTGATGCATTTGGCTGCTAACTGAAAGGTTGGAGGATCGAGGCCATCCAGAGGCAACTTAGAACAAAGCCTTGGCAGTTCACTGAAAACACAGTCACCGTGTGTCCGGACTGACTCCATGTTATCTGCTCACATCCACATCAGTATCCCTCCCCTAAGATTCCAGGGACTAAGACTGTGTTTCCGCAGGGGCCTTTCCCCACTTCCTTGGTGGTGTGTGTGTGTCTGTGTGTGTGTGTGTGTGGTAGGTGGGGGGTTGGGGAGGATCCCTCCTCTGCCCACCTTTTCCAGGCTTGCCCCCCCCTGGTCCCACTGCCATTGGCTCCAGCTCCCAGGATCTTGCTCCCAAATCCCAGAGCTGAACTGCATTGCTCCATCTGCAAATCCAAGTCAATAACCCCGGCCCGCCCTCGTCTCGGGGCTGGAAGGGAACATATGGGAAAGTGTTTTGGAGACAGAGCTGTTGTCGTAGGAAGATGACACGCTGGAGGCTCAAGTTTCTGTTGCCAGATGTGGAGGCCTGGCCAAGCCCGTGCCCTGGAGAGCAGGGGTGGGGCTGGGTGCCCGAGTTTTCTGTCCCTCCAGCTCCCTCCAGACCTCCCAGGCTGGGACCACCGTCCCCTCCCCCTGTCACAAGCAGAGGCCCAGTGAGGGAGGCCGGGAGCCCAGCACTGCTGCCTGTAACCGCAGCTGTCACCATGGCTGTCTCCGGGTGGAAGGGGCTGCCCCTCCCCAGCCACCCCCAGGCCTGGCGGAGCAGAGCTGCAGGAGGGCAGCCAGACCTGCCGGGGCCTGCCTGGATATGGGCTCTGTGCTGTCACTGGAGGTGGGGGAGGAGGGGCTAGCACAAGTCAGTGCCAGGCAGCTCAGAGGCTGAGACCACGGCCCATTCCATGTAAAGGTGGTCCCTTTAAAGGGGGAGGGATGGACAGGCAGCGGTGAATCCATGGAAAAGCGCGCCCCTGGCAATTTGTTTTAAACTGTTGCCTGATCTCTCACAGCTGGCAGGGCAGATGGTGATGGAGAACAGAAACAGCTCATTGGTGCCCCCTCAAGTGGTGCCCAGGGCATGCACCGTACCTTCCGGATTCTAGGGCCACCTCTGGGGACAGGAAGTGTCAAAGGCCAGGCTGTAAGAGGCACTCGGGAGCTGCTAAGGGAAGTGTTTAAGGAGCTCGTCTGCATGGAAATTGTATTTCACACCCCACTTAACTGCCTGATACCCAGTGGGGGGTGGTACAGATATTCCAAAGTGTGTGTGTGTGTGTGTATGTGTGTGTGTGTATGTGTGTGTGTACAGTGACACACGTGCTCTGGAGCTGGAAGGGGAGGTGCAGACAGGGGAGAATGGGTTACTGCCCGGGGAGCAGGTAGTTAGGGTGGGTGGAGCCTGCTGAACTGGGCTCTTCTCTTTCTGCTCTGATTGCAGTGGACATGCCCAGCCCCTTCCTCCTGCCCCCTGGCTCAGACACACTGGGCTGCCCAGGCACCATCCAATCCTTAGGGCAGTAATTTGAACTATGGGACAGGAGCCCAGCATCCTTAGTTTTCTCTCTGTCTCCAGAACCTTCCATGGCTCCCTGCTGCTAATAGAGCCGAGCCCTTCTGCCTCTCCTAGCAGACCCTCTGGCCTCTGGCCTCCCACCAATACTTCTGACGTGATTCCTTTAAGAAGAACTAGATGTCAGTGTTTCTGCCATCTCATTCACCTGCTCAGCTCTTCTTCCAGCTCTGGCCACTACATCCACCTGCCTGCTGAAAAGGACCAGTAGCACCCACCCCCGTCTGAAACTTCCCCCAGATCAAGCTTGGGCCTCCCAGAAGGCCCAACTGAGCCCCATGGGGAGCTGAGAACACACGGGGTCCACCAGGCCCTGGGGGTGACCAGAAGCGGCTCCTGAATCACCATCCCCACAGGCAGCAGACTCTCTGCAAAGAGATGTGGGATCCCTGGGGGGAGCTCTGGGACAGCAGACTCCCAGCTCCCACCAGAGACCCTGCTCCCTCCTGACCCTTACCTTCTGCCTTTCTCTGTCCTGTCTAACTCCAACTCCTGGGAGTCAAGGCAG